TGCCTGTCCTTTTGAAGCCACGGCAGCAAGAAACTCGGTCTCCAAGTCCAACCCTCTCCTATTATTCTTCTGGTCTCCACAACATGTAAGAATTTAAATTTTCACCCACATTCTCAAAACAAATGCTGTAAGATATCAAGTTTTGTACCTTTCTATGTTTACATGTATGAGGCTATTCTTATGCTATAAATTAATCTACTATTTTTCCATTAGCAGTGGAACATGTGAGCAAGAAGGAACTGACCCACAAGAGCAAAGCCATGTGTGCTACCCTTGCAGCTGGGCTAATTCCATCAGCACTGAACCGAAGGCTGTTTCGCCATGTAGTAGCTCACCGTTAGATGGAGTTTTATCGCGGTTGTCTTGGCCAAATCATTTCAGTGGAGGGGATTCGCATTGCATGGACGAGTTTCTGCCTACAACCTGTCGAAGTTACTACAGCTACCCCAGAAAGAGAACCCCAAGCACTCCAAAAACCTGTACAACCAGCCTTGTTGACTTTGATGGCCGAGAGTATGCACACCGCAGTAAGGACTTTAACTTGCCGAAAGCATCTCTGAGTCCTTTCTGCAACAAATCTTCAAGCTGCAATTCAGAAATGTACAGTGACAAGCTCATAGATGCATCTAACACTAAGCAGAGCCTCTCCTGTCCGATCTTGCCACCAAGAACACCAAAATCAAATGCCATAAAGAAGTGCACAGATGTGCTGTCAGAGTCAGTCTGTGACAGTAAGCCGGAAACTTTATATTCCTCACTTGCTCAACATGAGCAGGGAACAAAAGAGATACACTCCATCTCTAACACTCCAACTGTTAACTGTCCATCCTTGTCTCACACTACACAGTGGCAGCCACCATCGAGCTTGGCTGGCCTTTCAATTGAAGAGGTCTCCAAATGTCTGAAATTTATCGGCCTGCCAGGTGACATTGTTTCTCTTTTCGTGTCTGAAAAAATTGATGGGAATCTACTCCTGCAGCTCACCGAGGAGATTTTGTCTGAGGACTTCAAGCTAAGCAAACTGCAGGTGAAGAAACTCATGCAGTTCATAAATGGGTGGAGACCCAAGATATAACAGTATGTAACTTAAAAACTCCTGTAAAGCTGAGAACATCATGCCTTCAGTATGTATGCTATGCACATCAAGCCACAAAGAGTTTCTTTTTGTATAGTATGAACTTATTTCTTGTTACTACATGGTGGGGAAGACAAGTGGGTAATGCCCACTTAAAGTCTATGACTCCTATTTGCTAACTGAATGGAATCATTTGGCACTTTCACAACGACATTTACATGTCAACTGCTTACTTTTACACCCACGACCTATTCATGTCATTACACAGATACTAATTTAAGCCAGGGAATTGAAAGAAATCCACATAATCGTTTTAATGTGAGAGCTATATGAAGACAATATTGTCTTTTGTAAAAGGAGAGTGTCACAGAATTTTGCTGCGAATAGCTAAATGTTTAAAAGAGCACGAACTAGAAAATATTTGAAATATATATATATAGTAGAGCCAACTGCCAATAATTACAGAAAACCCAGTTTGGTATCAGGTGACAGGAGATGGTTAACTTTGGAAAATTAATTACTGCATGACAGGGTTCTGTTTTCCCTCAGAATTTGCATCCCCTTAATATAACTGTGCTAATAACAGTTAGCTACGCTAAGTCATTATCTGCAGTAGGGTTTAAAGGTGACACTTCCTATGCAAGAGCTCTTTTTTGTGTGTGCCTGAAGTTAAACACTGCTTATTGTAACCTAAAACGTCTCAGCTAAATGTCACTTTGGGTTATTTAAGCCTGAAAAGAAATTGGTTACATCTAACCAAATTCTGTCCTTTCTTTTAAACTCACATGGAGATAACCAAAAGCGCCAACAGATCTTGGCGTCCAATATAAATGAAAAATTAAATGCATCATGCACTTTGGTAGATTTCAGATTAAATATAGCAGTTGAGGTCATTAAATATAATTGATGAGATTGTTTATGTAGAGAATGAATGCACTACATTTTTTTAATTGCAAGGGTACTCATTTGTTTCCACTGTATGTATTGGTAAGTGTTACCTACAATACTTGCGAGACAGAAGTAATAGTTTTTTGCGCCTTAACCCAGAGACCTTAAACCATTTGATATGTTGACGTAACATTTTCTTTTTGTCAGAGAGTATACACTAACAACGGGAGTTTCTCCAGACCACAGAAGCATGTAGGCTAAACTTGAAAATGATAAACTACAATGAAATATTTGTTTGTATTGGTAACTTTTTAAAAAAATACCCTTGATTCAGAATTGAGTTATTTATGCAGTAATTTAACATGATGCAAAATATGCAGGAGAGTTATTGTCAGACCATTCTTATGGCTGACACTTGAAGGTGCCTCAGCAGTCACAGCTTTTGTACAACTCGGGTCTGGTCTGTTGGCCAATAGCTGTTGTTTTGTTCCCCCCCCACCCAACAGTTTTTTTCTCTTTTTTACAGTGGGGTGTTACATATTTTACTTGATATTTTTTTTATTTTGTATGTAGGTGCAAATTAAATATAATTTTTTTTTTTATTGAAATGATTACTAATGTTGAGATTATTTTTTATTGAGAAAAGCTTATGTTCAAATTTCTGTTTTGTTTTTTTTAATTCTGTAAAATGTGGGTTCTACTCGGGTTTCTAACTTCATGCAGTAAAATAACACTCGGTCACGGGGGGAAAATACCTACGAATCTCTTTCGCACTCCATGGACACTGACCAAAAGATAATGTTAATAAGCTGTATTTCCTTTTAAGTTAGTGTCAGTATCGCTGTTTTTATGGAGAATGATTTCTGTCCCTGGAAACTTATTACATAGCATAATGTCTTATGCAATAGCCATGGCACTCCAAAGTGACCACGGAAAGGAAATGCAAAGCAGTGGAGTATTATAGGGTATTATTAAGCGTATTGAAAATGCCACAGTGTTCATTTATAAAAAATGCATGCCAAAGAAATAATTCAAAAACCATTAGCCAATTTAAATTGAAGAATTCTGCAATTATTCAATGAACTGTGAAAACACTCCAACATCTAGCCGTGTCCGACTAATCCAACGTTGTGAAGCACTCGGAACCAAAGCTCATTCTGCGTTGGTAACACACTCAGCTCTGGATCACTGCCTACATGAACTGTTGCAATTTTTTGTACAAAAAGAAGGTAAATAACTGTGACACTGGGTTTGACATCATTACTTACAAGTTGAGTTCTGAACATTTGTTTTTCATTTTAACTCTTGTTTTCCCTGTTTCCCCTTTTGCATTGTATCATCTATTAAACATGGATTAACTGGTGCTCGTGTTTTTCTTCTTGGTCAAGTAACAGTAGTAGGCTTCATAGTAGTAACGAGCATGACCATTATACTACTGATCACAAAGTTTAAGTGATTAACGCAATCTATATGAAATACAGCAAGAGCTTTATGTGTAAGTCAGTCTTCATTCATTGATAATTCACAAAATAATTATTTTAAGGCGTGCCTGCCTGTCCAGGGAAATACGTGTCTATGCTGTGACATGGAGAAACATGAGTTTCATCAATTCCCCAGAATATTGTGACATATGGTGGTTTCACCACTTGGCTCCATGTCTATGTTAAAGTTGCAAAGTCAGAGCAGAGGCTAAAAGGACAGGGAGACATTCGAGGATTTAAAATTTGAATTTCATACTTCATAAAATTACAGCTTGTTCCAGTTCAATTCATCAAGTTTAGAAGAGTAGCCATCTGAAATTTACCACCTTGGGTCATTTTCCCCCAAAATTCACGTCAGAATTCATTTTAGTCGTCTCTGGATTCAGTGAATAACTTCCAGTTAGAAAACTCACCTGGTTTATTTCTTTCTAACATTATTTTGCTCTTTTCCAGTGCGACTGATGATTTGTTCAGCTGATAGACAATTATCTATAATTTGGGTCATTTCTCAGGCAAAATTTGAGATGACTAAAGAATTAATAGAGACAATAAGTAACTGATTAACTGGTTATTTTTAGTAATTGATATTGAGTGTATGTTATCTGCATCTTTTATAGAATAGCAAATTGAATACAGGCGCATGTCAAATGCTGCAAAAAGGAAGTGAGACAGCAAATTGCATCAGGTGTTCAGCACCTTTATCAACAGTTTGCTGTTTCGTTACTTCTGCTGTCTTGCACTTTCCGGTTATACATTAAGCAGCTGACATGCCACAGATCAAAGGTTTCCTAAGTTCTGCTTTTTATCAACATGTGATTTAGGCTTACATATTCTAAACCACATACTTTTAAAGCTTTGATTAAATTTGAATGTCTTTAAGTAAGTGTGATTTATTGAAAATACTTTGCACAAGCCTTATCCATATAAACGATTTCAATAGAGGTTATGAAAGAGCAGACATGCCTGTTTTCTTCAGGTGCTGGTGCACTGTGCAGCATCCGGCTTTTTAAAATAAGTGTACATAAATGCAGATTTTAAAGGTTTTGCCTATTTTTCATGTAATTATGTGTCTACTGTTACCAACATGTTTTATTACCTCACTCTAAAGACACACACTTGGTCAAATTTGGCAAGCTCGACTTTTAAAACAACTGCATATGAACAATGACTAGGCCTGTGATGCCAACTTGTGCTTATTTGTTGCATTGTTAGCCGTTCCTGCCATTTGCTGCCTCCTTCCTGACTCCACCAGGTTTTGTATGGAGCATTTGTCTTGATGTCAACACAGCAACTTGTTTAAAAAATGGCTAATGCTCTAAGGAAACTAATTTGATTGGACTGGTACTTGACTGGTATTAGTTACCATTAGTAACTAATGGGTGATCATCAGTTATCCCGTTCAACTGTCAAATCTCTAATCTGACTAATTCCCGTTCTTAATGGGAAAGTTTTCTGATTACCTGCCCTGTGCAACTGAATTATAACTACATGGCTGAATTCAAAACAAAATATTACTATATGAATGCCGTAGTGTATAGTTATAAATTAGTTACAGATTTCACACTTTCCACAGAATTTTATTTCTTCCTTTTGTTCCAAACGTCATACAATTTTGCCAAGCAAATTGGCAAAAAAAGAACAAGACGCATATAAAGGTTTTCCACAACTGCATTAGAGAACATATTTGACATCAAAGGATTCTTTCAGGCCCTAAAAATCATTTGCATACAGTTTCTAAACGTGTGATTTATTTTGAATGACTCAAATCCACGGTTCCCAGCCCACCCAAACTCTGCAAAGCACATTTGGATCCATGGCCTGGTCTAGCAGACAGTCCACCTGATTCTCCACTGACAGGCCGTCGGCTGGAAGTCTAGCACGAATGTTGTGCTCCTTAGTGCCCAGAGCCACCGACTGCATCCCCGGGAAGGCACCATCCTTCTCAAAACCCAGCTTCAGCTCCTCACTGACAAAATAAACCCAAAACATCAAGTCAAAAACAAGACAAGCTGGAGAATAACAAAACAGTGACTGAATTGTATTATAAAGGTTTCTGATTTCAGATATGACCCCTAATATGAATCAACACACTCAGTAAAATGTTACCATTAGTTGAGTACTGGGACTTTCCATCATTATGGATGTCAAAAACAGGGTTGTACTAGCATAGAACGTTAATTAATTAAATCCTATTAGACGTTTCATAATATGATCTGATGATCTACCTGGTTATAGCAGCTGGATTAGCTCCATCCAGTTTTCTCTTGGCAAAGTTAACCTTCTGCAAGGGATACCAGTTGATTTCTTTGGTGTTCACAGTCTCTGTCCATGTGCCTCCTTTCCTCAGTTGTTTCATCTCAAAGTTCTGCATGATAACAATAACACAACTTTTTTGTACCGTAATTTGAAAAACAGATTAAACGTTTTTAATGTGCAACAGCAAGTAACATTTTATTGGGGGAAATTAAATTAATTCAATTGTTGTTCACAAACAAAAACTGTAAAACAACAATAGACTATACAATGGCCAAGAGCCACAAATGAAAACAGAACATGCCACATGTTGTATATAATACAATCTTGATCCGTATCCAAAATTCAGCATGTGCTGTCTGCAAAGTCGAGGGGTGATGATTTGAACTTGCTTTGGATACAACACAGGACTTGGGCACTTTGCAGTCATTGAGTCGACCATGAACTTCTCTGTATTCTAGAGTCAAATGATCCTAAGCACAGACCCAAATCTTCAAGAGAAGGGCTGAGGAAGAAACGAATCCAGAAAAGTCCAGACTTCAACCTGACTGGAATAATGTGGCGACACCTTAAGAGAGTTGTGGCTAAATGGATGCAATAAAATCTCAATGAACACTATTGAAAACATTATCCAAAATCTATCCACTCATTCAATGGTTACCTTCCAGTCCAGGGAGGGTTCCTTGACAAACACGTCCATAGTGTTAAGCAGAAGGTCTGGCTCAGCCCTGTAGGCCCGCAACGAATGAACCATGATGTTCTGGATCAAACCGGACTCCTTCAAGGGTTGCATTAAATTCACAAACTGTTGGGTCAGCCGGAAAGGCATGAGCTCAGGCACAGGGAGGAACTGGGAGAAAATACGGGATTGCACAGAAAGAGATTAACAGTACAGTAGGTCACCTTCTGACATGCTTCACATTCATGCAGCCGGTCACCTCAGCGGTGACAGTAAGATTCATACACCTAAACCAGACAATAAATTCTCCCAACCCAATCACGTGTAAATCACTTATTGCCTCTTCTATGGCATTTTGCTTTAGGCGAGTTAACATTCCTTTCACTGGATATACCTGTGTGGATGAGCCAAACGCATGCCCAAAGTCAATGCCAATCATGCCCCCTGTTTCCATATTTATCATGAAGTTGGAGAGGTGGCGATCTCCAATCCCAAGAATCCAGTGACTCACACACAGCAAAGCGTGAGAGCTAATGAAGTGGGATCGCAGGGACAGAAAGGCCTCCGGACTGTTGCACATGTTTAGAAAAGCTCTCCTAGAATTTAAAACAAAGAAAAATATGAAGGTTATTACTGCAAGTGTTACCATGTCCTGAGCAGTCATGCTATACATGCAGTCCACTTACTTCAGCAAATCGCTGGGCACACACTGCAATACTTTCATAAAGTTGTTGACAGCATCGGCACGTTTTGCTTTCCTGGCAAAGAATGAAATGCAAGTGTAAGTCTGTTAAAATTATTCAAATTGTTTTTTATGAGCATTTATTGAACCCAGTGTCATAGGAGTAAAAATTCAGGTAACTCACTTATAGGCCAGACCATAAAGTGCAATAGCGCTCACACGATTTTTGTCTTTTCGGTTTTCTGGTGCAAAGCGTGAGAGCCAGGCGTTGTACTCATCCATGGAACTTTAAAACAAAGACACAACTGCCATCATATCATCAAACTCATCACACACTAGATGAACTTCATGTTCTTCACCAAACACAGGGCCACGGCATTAGGGTGGAATAAATATACTGTACCTCCCTGCCCTCTGCTGCTCCTCCTCAGTCATTGTGTTGAGCACAAACTCCTTTAGAGTACAGGTGTTTTCCATCCATTCAATCAGACCAATTCTGTAATCATAATTTGCTTAGTTAGTTAATAATTGTTAAGTAATTAAATATGGGACCAAGAACCAAATGATACTTATAATATTAAATAAATTTTTCTTACTGGATAGTCTTATCAGAGAAAATAAAATAAAAAAAACCCATTTTATTCGATCTTTAATCAGTGTAAGTGGAACTGAAGGGACAGATATGGAGACACAGACATGCCCACCACCTTGTGTTTATAGGAATGACTTGATAGGTGCGGAGCTGCAAGCCTCTGTGCAAACACGACGTGTCCTGGCTCAGCAGGATGTTCATGACAGCGAAAAGCTGTTCGATTCGTTGGTCCTGTCGGAGGTCCTCCCCGCCCTTTACCAGAAAGGGATGGTCCCGCTCGTCATCCCCACGAATGATGAGACGCTTGGGACGACGAATAGAAGACATCACCTTTACCTGCAGGCAAGATCCCAGAGAACTTTCACACTTACAGCCAGGACGAGAACAAACCGTTTAACTCTTCCTGTTTTAAAGTGCATACCCTCTCATCAAAGCCGGTTATCTTTGCATGATACTCTGGCAGTGGTTTGGCTCTCCCGTCATATTGTCCTGCGAGAAAGAAAACACAGCCTCATCAGTGGATAGAACATAACGGATGAGACTGTTTGAAATAAATCAAACAATATTAATCAGTATAGCTCTTAACCTGGGATCTCCAGCTCATTTCTGAATGAGTCTGCTTTAAATCCACTCAGCCAAGGTGAGTATTCCTTCAGGTTCCCTGGCTCCTTCTGAAATCCACGCATGGATGCAACCAGGTCCAGGTCCACTTTCTGCAAAAAGGTTTCATCTTTCCTCTTTTCAAACAGCTGTTTGCCGTTCGGTCCCAACAATTTCTCCACGTCTTTGAAAAACTTCTGCAGGGAACAGCATAACATTATATTTTCTTGATTAGAAGCTGCATATTCTTTTCACTTGCTGATGAATGATCTGTACTAGCCTCCTAATTTCACAAATTTCTGGAGAATCATATTTTTGAGATAAAAAAAGAGGAAAAAAAGAAAAGAAATGACAAACTTTAATGAATTTCTTTCGAAACATCCCGTGACTATCTGCGCTGCAGTCTCCGAGTATAGACCGCATCTCTTCATACATGTCTCCCATTTGCTTCCTGTTAAAAGTCGGCTTTTCCAGTTCAATTCTTACGCCATCCCACCAATCCTGCGTGTGGACAGAATGAAAACAATCAGTTTTCGTCTGGCATTTTGATTGAAATCATGTCTGAACTTTCACTCATTACCTTAAAAATCATCTCAGGATTTGTCAGCTGCTGAAGCGCATCCACAAAGTTCTTCACAGCACCTCCCTTGTCCAGCATGCTCTTGAGCCTGTTGATGCACAGCGCTCATAAAATTAAACTGAAGCTTTTGAAAAAATATTTTTAACACCGACCCCCCAAAAAACTGCACCTACAAACTTACCTGTTGACAAACTCCTGTTGCTGGTGTCCTGTAGCCGAGTCCTCAAACTGGTAGCTCTCACTGCTGATCATGAGTGCATAAACCAGTGCCTGAGGGTAGCACTCTGCTATCTGCTCTATGCAGTGCTGTACTGCCACAGCTTCTGGCTTGTCCAAAAGAGCAACCATCTGACTGATCCAGCTAATCAGCATCCAGCAGGGAACAGACATCATCTATATACAGACAGACGACACAATTAAAACATCTGCATTCCCAAAGCTTTAAGGTATTTGGTTTACATTTGCTAATAGTTTCAATGTTTTTTATGTTTACTGGACATTTATTATTTTTCTTTTATAATCAGCAGAATTACGTTTCGACATACTAAAGACATTCTTTGTTAAAAAAGCTAACCTCTTTTGTCATGAGGTCCAGCGTCTCAGACGGGTACAACTCAATGATCTGTAGCAGGCGTGGGAACCTGAGGCGAGCCTCCTCTGAATTCATCTTCAGTGCTTTCAACATGTTTTCCACTACATGCATCGGCAGCACCAGAAGGTCTGGAAACTGTGTTTCTGTAACCGTAAACAATGGCAACCAACATTTGAGGGAAGAAATAATCCTTTCAGTAGTCTTCAGCACACAGCTAAAGTGTTAAGACCAAGTATTGATCACATTAAGTACTCTGGGTGCTCACTGTTGGTCTTTTTTGCATCAATCTGAACAAATATCTACCTGGGAAATGTCACTACTCACCAGCATCGCTCTGCTCCTCCTCTCTTAACCGTTTGTCACAGAAGTTAGCCAAGGTCATGTACGTCTCTATGACGCTGCTAGTCTCCACAAAGTCCTGAGAATAAGACTGAAGCTCCTCGTCGGCCTTTCTGGTCGCTTCACATAGCAACTTCAGCGCCTGTAACTGCAATCCCACTTCCACTTTCTGCAGGAAAAAACTGCTTTTGTGATTCATTTGTTCATTCAATTGGTATAAAATTACAAAGAAGGGCTTAGTGTGATAATCTGCTGTGGAATAAAGTGGAGCCTTTTGCAATTCCCACATATAGCACAGAAATGATGCAGAACACTTTACATCCAATTATATTTGCCACTATAATCCCAGCTTAGTCATTCATGCAAGTTTCTTCTCTAGCCAGCAACTATAAACAATGTATTTTCCTAAAAAGTAGAGTACCTTTGGATCTGCATTGGACGAGGAAACTCCAGAAAGCTTTACGACTCTCTCTGCTTTGTCAGCATCGATAGTTCCTAGGACTGACGGACTTCTGCTTACAGCTGTGGCCAAGATGTCGAACGATGTACCCTGGAGAATCTTCTGGTATCTGAACACTTTAGCTGTAGCACTCTGACTGTCAGTGTCAGCCTGAAGGTCCTCTGGAGAGAGAAATGAGCTGACATGAAATATGGCAAAAAAGAAAGCTGAAGGCCTTTAAGCTTTGAATACTCGACACTTGTGTGGCATTCTTTTTCCTTCTCACCCAGGAGTGGGATGGTTTTCAGCATGGTGCTGATTTGCTCCACAGGACCCTGAGCCTGACACCGTTTATGGCTGTAGCGGCTAAAACTGTGGACCCACCGCAGCAGCCATCTTCTGTCCATTTTGGCTTCTTTATGAAGTTCTTTCAGCAGCTTCACAGCTACGGGGAAGTTATTCTGAAAACATTTGTTTGTCCAGGATGAGTTTGATGGGAAAGCATGCTAAAGAACAGACAGAGGAACATCCACACTTGTTTCTTCACCTGCTTCTGGGCTCCATCAGCCATGCGTAGCTTCATGTTGAACTTGCAGTCATTTACTAATGTCTCAATGTCGCCCGCTGGGTCACCTGAGCCGTCCACCTCCATGCTGTCAGATGGAGCATGGCCTCTGAGCTTTTCCCTGATCTTATCCAAAAAGAAACACCTGAAACGTAGAGAAAAAAATAAGGTAGTATCAGGTTCTGTTATTTGTCTTTACTTTAAAAAAAAAAAAAGAAAGATATGCACGCAGAGTCTTCTTACCGAGATGTAATGATATCATCCCACACATTCACTGGGTCCACTTTAGCATCAGGATACCGTTCAGTCCATGATCTGATGAGGTGCTTGAGGGAGTCCAAAGACACTAATAAAAAAATTTAAAAATTGCAAAAATGTTTCAGAGCTTGAAAAAAAAGATTCAAACAAAGGAAGTTTTAGGAATAAATATTCCAAAATCTTGTAAAAAGACCAAACAAACATTTTAAACATTTTAAAAAGCCACTATCCACTCACCCTCTTCTTTAATAAACAACAGGAAGTCCTGGATTTCGGTCAAGGCCTGCACTGACTGCAGAATGGTTAGCCGGCTTTTAGTCAGGAGTGTATCCACGTTGGAGTAACTCTATATGAGGCAAACGAAGTAAGCATGAGTAATAAGTTAATCTAGATAACACACTTGTCTGCTTATTCAGTTAACAGCAACAATCTGTACATATATAACCGTTTTTTCCCCCCCATTTCATTTATGAAATAAACTGTTCTCTGTAAATCAAAGAATCGAATGTGCTGGACAGAGAAATGAGTGTGAGAGCAGACCTCCATAAAGAGCTGCATGGCGTAGTTTGTGTAGTATTTGGCGCGGTCGTAGTCCTCTTGCAG